CAGAGGAGAAATTGGTGAAATTCTTAGTATTATTGGCTATATTTCCCCAATACGTAGCAGTCCTCGAAGAGGTGGACACAAATAGCATTTAGATAAACCTTCTTGTATAAGTTGTGGCCCAACAGGCAATGGTGTTCAGGAAGCAATTTTACTTCAAGAATCAATTTTGGTTAGAGATATTAACTGCAAATCTGTATGCTGCTTGCAACAGCTTCCCCAAAAGGAAAATTCACTACATCTTTAATTATATTGCTGCATTTCTTCAAGGATGGTGCACTGTTCACACTAAGAAATTGTCAGTGTGTAACAGGACCATCCATCATGAGTACAACCATAAATATGTTTTCAGTGTACAGATAGGGACATTAAGGTAGAGAGGTCTAACCCAATGCCATGAACTTCTGGAAATTTAGCTAGAAATTAGGTGTACCCATCTTCAAAGCTTTATGCTTAGCCCAATAGATGAAAGGGCTTCCAATGAAGGATATTTCTTTACTATCGGTGAAGGGACAGAAGGACAATGGAGGCTGTAGACTCAGCCCAGGGATAGAGTCATGCATTTCTGTAAAGTGATGCCTTCTTCTGATTATCCAGCACCAGTTCTAACAGAAGTCACTTTGAATTGGTCTTGGCTGGTGAGAGATAGGTAGTGTGAGGAATGAGACAGTGAAGAGGCCTAGATTTTTGTCTACAGTTCCCCTTCCTGCTAAAAACCCAACCTTTCCCTTTAAAACTCAAAACAGAGAGACAAGGATTGAGCTAAGCTTTGGAGGTAAGAGATCCTCCTGAATCAAACAGCATCTTCCCTTCTGAGCAACTTTAGACTTGCCAATTAGCACTCTGTCTGCCTAACCTATATACATGGATCAAGCTTATTGGAATGGCCACTCTGGCTAGGGACAGACATTACACATAAACTGGTTTAAGTGATCAGAAACTGGTTTAAAGCTGTAACAGAACAGGTGTTCAGTGCACATAAACCAGTTTGAGAAAGGCTGAAACCAGTTTGAGATAAACCTGGTTGAATGTAGTATTAGACTTAACTGTTTTGGCTCAAACCCCACGGGACAAAGACAGAATCAATAGAAAGCGGGTAATGTCCCTCTGTTACTTTCTTAATGGGGTGATAAACGTTGAGTTAGAGGTGATAAACATCCCCTGCTGGGCTGTTCAGGGGTGGGGGAGGGACCCTCCTTAATCAGAGTGGCCTGGCCAGGCCCTCCTCAGCTCAGCTCTGTACAAGGGAAGGGAGGGCTGCTCTAGCGCTCCCTGGCTTCTAGCTTGGGCCACTGCAGGTATGTGCCTGCATTTCTGGGACGTCTGTCTGGTTACAAAACTGATTTAGCCTAGGCAGGTTAGATTAACATTCAAAGATTGAATCAATTCCTGGCTCACTCTTTTTGAACGTCTGTCCCTAGCCTCTATGCTTTACACTTAAATCACTAGTGCTGGGAGTAAGGTTTCCTTTTCCACCCTGCAGGTTCATCAACATAAAATTAAAACATATGCTATTTGAGGACGTCCTGTTTGATAATTGCTTTTTTATTGATGTGACTTCCACTGAGACCTACTTCAAAAACTGCACTTTTGAATACACTATCTTCAATAACACTGGTAAAGGGGCTCCCGGCTTGGCTTAATTCAGTGACTCCCAAACTTTTGGAACTAGCAGGCCACTGTCAACCTTCAAAATTTCTTACCAACCACAATGCATGCTTACCATGAAATTCTTAATTGAAAAGGAGCAGGTGTTTAATACTTTTGGTGGACCGGTTCTCAAGGCCTTGTGGAGCACAGTTTGGGAGGCACTGGTCTATTTGCATGCTGGGGTGTGTGCGTGTGCATGTGTGTTGGGGGAAAATGAGTGGGTGTACTGAGGTAGTGAGTGTGATGAGGGGAGGAGGGTGTGATGAGGGGAGGAGCTGTTTCACTATGGTAGACTTCTGTGTACTGCATTTGCATCAACGTGCAACATGAACTTGGAGTTTTTCATCTCCCAAGATCCAAATTTAACTTTTTCTTCATATACAAGTCTAATCACAAAGTTGGCACTGAGAAGAGAATTTCCCCAAAAGCTGAGGCCGATCCAGTCTATGATTTCAGTTTAATCTGATCTTTTGTCCCATATTTCTTCTGTTGCACTTTGCAAGAGGCTAAGAATAGATCAGAGAGATGCATCTCCAGGACTCCCCCATCATGTACCTTCTGGTTCATTGGTCACTGCAGGAGAAACATGGGAAACCAAACTGAAACCCTGGTTGGATAAAGTCATGAAGGAACTGGATTGTAATGGGCTTTCAATGCATTTTTGTAGCAATTTTTTTAGCCCACATCCAGCTTCTGATTCGGGATCTCAAGACATTTCATTAATGTAATTTATTCATTAATTAGTTTTAAAAGAGATTTTCATTTTCCCTTGAACTGAGTTTTATTTTTCCTTGAACTGAAAATGACCAACTGGACTATGAAAATCATAGCCTATAGCCCCAGCTCCTGGGCTACTGCTCACCAGTAGTTGATATGGCAGACTCAATGTGCATGCATTAGAACATGTACAAAGAAGCAGGGTCCCATTTCCCTCTCTGTTGAAGGCAGGTGTTATTCTGTAGGCACTCCTCAAGGTCTGGGAGGCAAGGAAATGATATCTTTTAAAAGCCCAAGGGTGTCATAAGGAGGTAATTTGGATACGCATGCTTGACCCCATCTCCCTACACACCAGCTAATGCAAGAAGTGACAGACAAGCTTACGCCTGTTGTACATGTGCAGTATAATAGGCCTGTGTGAAGCAGCTAGTATTCGCTTCGGATTTGGCTGATTCAGGGGACAGTGATTCGATTCAGTGATTTGAATCTCTGTCCCGATTTGATTCAGCTGAATCTGATCCAGCGATTTGGCAGCAGCCGAATCTCTGAAGCAGCCAGGGCAGGCCCATCCCCGACCCCTCTCCCAGCACAGCAATGGCTGTCCCAGCTTCTGGCACTTGTAATAAATAAATAAATAAATAAATAAAAAAGCCCCGGGTCACCGGGTGCTGTCAGGCAGGGGGTGATCCCTGCTTCCCCCCACTGCCACCACTGCCTGGGGGGCTCTGCATGAGCACCCTGCCCCCCCCCTCGCTCCCCCAGCTCCCCCACAGGTGCCCTGCCCGGGCCAGCTCTGGCCCTTTAAGAAAACAAAAATGATAAAATCTGGGACTCACTGCTCCTGCTGGTGTGGGGGGGGG